ACCTCACTTTCACTTACTTCCACTTTGTCCTTACTCGGTTTATCGAAAAATGCAATGTCTTAAACGAAATGTGAGCCTCAGGGACATCATAGAAACTTTTAAAAAAATATTTTGAAAAAGAGAGTTTTTAAGGTCTAAAATAGTTTTGGTCTTAAATAGGGTGTAACGTTTGGATTTAGAAGCTCTTTTTGCTGAAGAAATCAAACTTTTGTACAACATAACTTTTCATCATCGAGTGATCAACTTAAGGCGCCCAAGTCTTAAGGGTGGTCAAAAATAAGGTATCTACAAACACCTTATAGGAACCACCAGTTTTCTATCTCTGTGATTAGTAATCTTGCACTCACTAGGAGCCACCAATTCAAGAATATATTCGGAATTATAAAAATTCAAAAAATACATTCACCCACCCTAACGGGTTGTCTCATCTTTGCTCTTCAAGCAAAGTAACATAGCAATCATACGTGCTATAATTGACACATGGATAACATACTAATTGCCTTTGATAAATTCAGAAATATCATTATGCAATCTTATGATTTCCTTTAATCACACTTGATTTCTCTTTATCTTCCTTTAAGAACCTCGCAAGGTTTAAGGTTGTCAGGTGGAACAACATTCCCTGTTGTTACCTCATAAACCATTTCTGAAAAACTACAACATAATTTCACTATTTTTTTTTTCCAAAAACTATACTTAACACTAGAAAATCCCAAATTCTGAAATTTAATTCAAATTGATCTCACCACTTACCCTAGAATCGAACATGGTCAGGAAAGTTTCTAGAAAGACTAGAAGGGGTCACACCGGTCCCACTTAAGATCCAGTTAACCTTAGACAAAACTTTCAAAAGCATTTTGACTCCTAGTCCATGAGAAATAAATTTAGAATTAAGTTTTCCAGATGATAAACTAGGTTAAAACAAACCAAGTTTACAAAACTTATAAGCAATTAAAAATTACTATCAGAATTACACCACTCATAAAAGTTAATCGGTACTCCCGGAACTGAGCCCATTATTTTTGAATAAAAATTAGAAATATTTTAGCTAATGCTAAAATTTGGTTTCCTTTCCTACAACACTTTGGAAATAATCAGATTATAACCAAAGACTTTCTCAAAACTTGGTTTACTACCACTTTGGGAATAAAAAGATTTAAACTTAAAGATTTTCTCTAACCACAAAGGTTTGAAACCAAATCCATCTTAGTTTTTAGGAATACTAAAATTAATCCTAAAGACTTTCTCTAAACCGAAGGTTTATAATTTCTTTCCTTCCCCATTTCCTTTCACTATGGTGAAACTATTGCAAATTAGAAATTAAAACTACTACAAAAGGAAATGCAACTATTACAATTACAAATTATCTAAATCTGCAAAATCAAAGTTCATGGCTGCATCTAAAATGGTTTGTTTAGCCAGGAACACACTCCTCGACTTCAAACCATCCTTTCGAATTGCCAGCTTATCTTTGCATAAAATACAATACAAAAAACAAACTCAATGTTCTACTCCATGTAAGGGGGATGTATCCAAAACTTTATCCACGTTGCCGCTAAACCTCCATGCTCACTGCTTATATACACAATTGGATACGAAAGAGTTAATAAACCAATAACTCATATAATGCATATTACATAAATAATTTAAATTATCACTCACATCATGTAATTCAAGCAGCTATAGATGTATTGCGGTTATAAGAATGTCATGAGTTTCATAGCTATGAAATAATTACATATCTAAGACTATTATGGTCATAACATTGGCGTTTCAACCATCTAACTATGAGCAAATATTCTTATAAACAATAGAGTTAAATTCCAACAATACACAATAATATTTGGAGTAATTCACCTGATTATACACATCAAGACATGGAAAAACTCGCAACCAATACAACAATTTATTGATAGAATGAATACAAAGTAAAGGCCTTATAATGCAAAATATTCCACCATGCACTAATACTCTCTTCTATAATGCAACATAAATATTATATTTAGAAAAATCGAAACTATTTGGCTAAATTTTCGCCCAAAACAAAATTGTTTGGAGATTTTTATACTATTGAAAACCTCTCGACTAGCCGAATCTCTTGAAATTTTGAAGAAAAAAAAAAACGAACTCTTTGTTTTTTCCAGAATTTAATTAATCAAATTAAATCAAAATTGTTACCAAACTTTCAAAACAACATACGGAATAAATCCGAAATAAACCTGAACTATAAAGTAAATAATTAAATTCACAAATATATCCAAAAATTTGAAGATCCAAAATTCTCATCCATGCTTAGGTTATCCTGTCCAAAACAAAATTAGTAGTCTCATTTACTAATTCCAATTTGTTTTATTGTTCATATTATATATCATCCTTTAGTGTTTAGGTAAACCTGTAAAAGAAAGTTAGCTATAAAAGAAAAAAAATAACAAACAAATCAAATAAATTAGTAAGAATCTTAAGAAATAAAATTCTTATTTTATCTTATCAATACTTAGTAAATCATGCACTAACAATCAAATTACTCATGCAATAACAACTAATTAACATAAAATAAATTCCATGAATAAATTACTTGAACCAAACAACTCGAATTCCAAGAGTGACTAGAATAAAATTATAACAAAAACTAAATTGTTTATCAAAACTATTTATAATGAATCTGTTTTAAGATTGTTGGTATTTTTTCATAATAATATAAGAAAAATATATGAAATAAATTAAATAGAAATGACAAAATAATTTTATTGTTATTATTAAAAAATTAAATATAGAATAAACTATACAACTAAAAATACATAAATAAACTAGATTATATCATGGAACATATTACAAAATTGATTCCCATGAACATATAAAATAATATGCAAGAAATAGTTTAAATGTAAAAGTTTGAAGAACAAAAGATAAGAGATGCAAACCGAAACCTATGTGATACCACAGTGTCCTTAAAACAGATTCACAGCCTCCCGATAGATGCTAGAGGTATGCCAACGTCTGTCTCCCAGAATACGACGGTCGAAACCAACTAATGCAGAAGCACCTTCTAAATAGCTTCGGCGAACTTGACAATGGTTGCACTCTCTCTAACAAGAACCAAAGAAGGGGCTAGCAAAAGAAGATAGGAAAATTTTTCTTTTGGTGAAAAAAAATTATCTCCAACTTTTTGTCTCAAAATACCATCTCCATTTTCCATCAAAAAACTATCCAAAATTCTTCTTTCAAGTTTGAGGGGAAAGGCCACTATTTATACAAGTAAAGGAATTCCTAGCCATGAAGGCTATACATCAATAGGGCCATCAAATGCCATTAACCAAGGCCATCAACTGTAGCCATTAGGACTAGAGTTACAAAGGTTGAAAACCTATGGCCACTAATATGATCATTAACTCCATCATCAAAAGTTGAGAGTTACAAAGGTCTAAACCTTCCATGTGCTTAATATATACAAATAAGTATATATATAATGATATTTGAATAAACCAACTAGATGGGTCACATAATGGATACTAATGTTGGGTCACAACTTGATCCAAACCCAATTCTCAAACACATGCACAAGCTAAGCCCAACACAACATAGCTTAATCCAAACTTAATATTAGCTCCAAGTCTAAGTCCAAGACCAAACCTAACGCATGCACAAGCGCAAGCACAAGTCTAGGCCTAGTCCAAACTAAGACTAAGTCTAAATCTAAGCCCAACTTTATTAATGCCCACTTTATGCGACAATTCTCATTCACAACTCAAAAGTTCCGGCTCATTATTTTTATATTGTAATCTTCTCACTTGAAAGAATACAAAACAATTCAAACCCACCTCAACCGGCAGTTGGATCCCACTTTAATTTCGAATTATAGTTGGCGAAAAACCATTATTTTCAACACGAAATTTGCACATTTCTTTATCAAAATATGATATCTCTCTTTTATTTCTCTCATTTGTCTCCACTCTCTCTCACCACAAGAAAATGCATATTTGGCGACTAAAAGGAATTTAGTAGCCAAAAGTTAACCTTTTGGCGACTAAAAATTGTATTAGTCGGCATTTGTTGATTATGTAGCTACTAAAATCTTTTAGTCGGCATATATTAGTTATTGGCAACTAAAAAAAAATTTAGTAGCTGAATATGCCATTTTTGGCAACTAAAAAAATCTTAGTCGGCGTAAGTCTACATTTTAGGCTACTAAATTCTGTTTTAGTCGGTGTTCAGTAATTATTGGCAACAAAAGGCCATTTAGTCGCCCAAAACAGAAAAATTTACTGTTTGTCTTTGGCTATTAGGAACTTAGTCAGCCAATATTCACTTTTGGCAACTAATGGTTTGGTCGCCATTAATAACATTTGCCACTATTTGCCGACAAATTTGTAGTTTCGTCGCTAAAGGTTGAATGAAATTTTAAAGGGAAATGAATAAATGTTGGCGCCTGTTTACTTTTACACATCTGGTGCTAGGCCTGTAAGTGGATCGGATTCGGATCGGATCTGTCAAAATCTAAATCCGATCCAATTAAGGCAAACCCGAAACTGATCCGAATCCTTTTAGTCCATATCCGATTATAGATATCCGAATCCGATGATTTCGGATATCCGATCCGATAATCCGATCCGATCCATTTATTCACTTATTAAGCTATAATTTTATATAATTTGATTTTTTATTTTTATTTTTTCATTTTGTGTTTTTTTTCATTCAAATTGAGAATAATCGAATCGGATCGGATTTTTGCATATTCAATCCGTTTAATAAATGGATTAAACGGATTCGGATTATCGGATCAAATTTTTTTGTAAACGGATTCGGATTATCGGATCAGATTAGGGTCGAATTCGGATTAAATCCGATCCATTAACAGCCCTATCTAGTGCTCTCTCTCACACACAGATTCTGTCAACACCAAACCCCTCTGCAAAACCCCCTATTTCCCTTCCTATGATCCCCTTTCAGCTGGATTAATTAATGAAATCAAGAATATATATGTATGTGTGTGTGTGTGTGTGTGTAGGGTTCTATTCTAAAAAACTGGTTATATGTGATTGATTTTTACTGCAACAGCTTCTAGTAAAAATTGTTGGAAATGATTTGAAATGATTTGGAAAAAATTTGAGTGTCATTCTGAGTGTCAAAAATGATTTTCCACAGGACTCCTAGACTATAGCCCAAATCATTTTCATTACACTTTTTGGTGCTGCTATGGGACAAGTATGGTATTTGATTTAAATAATTATTTTTTTCCTCTATATTTTCCCAGAAAATGTAAACAATCTCTGGTTCTTTCATAAGAAAATCCAAATTCTGAAAAAATCTAACTGCATCATGAAACCTTATAAATTTCTAGTCTCTTGGTTGTTTCTTATTTCTAATGTTTTGTCATGACCCCATTCCGCCCCTAGTAGAATGGTGCCATGATGGCCAGTAATCCGAGATTTACCGAAGGCCAACTTTCTAAATTCACACACAATCAGAGTATTACATATGGGGCTAACATGTGCGGAAGCAATATATACAAATTCAATTAGTCCATAAGAGCTGTGCATAAGTTAAATGGAATGGCATACATTTGTACATAGCTTTAATACAACAAAATGAAGTACAAAATACATCTTGACCAAAAGGCTTCTCAGTTATCAAATACAAAATACAATAAAATACAACTAAGAAGCATAATCTTCAAGATGCGGCAAAAGTGCATAATCCAAAACAAGTAGCAAGTACATCTAGGCGTCATCGCCGTCCTGCTCATCACATACATATATATAGAGAGGAGTGAGCTTGGATACTCAGTGAATGATATAATTAATAAAGGGGTTTGCATGAATGATATCCGAAATCTTTATCAAATCAAGGCACATCACAACTTGTACAAAATCCAAGGGCAAATCAAATTTATCTAACAATCTTTCAAGTCTCAATAATTTAAGTCTTTCAAGGCTTTCAAGTTCCAAGGGGTGACATTAACAAAGGTTGGGCTACAAATGCTTATAGTCCTCTAGCACGTACGGACTTTTCAAGATTGTGCTACAATTGCTTATAGTCCCCTAGCACGTACGGACTTTTCAAGATTGTGCTACAAATGCTTATAGTCCCCTAGCACATACGGATTTTTCAAGATTGTGCTACAAATGCTTATAGTCCCCTAGCACGTACGGACTTTTCAAGATTGTCATTCAAAACAAGGCTAATACTTGATATACAAAACAGGGATCATCATTCATGCTTCACAAAATACTTTTCCAAAACAAGCAAGGCAAAAACTTTATCAAAACTTAATAACATAACTTTATTAAAAATACCACTCACGTCGGGGTCAAGGGAGTCCAAGTCCCTACATAACATGTGGCAAGTCTATTGAATGCATCACTCAAAAACAAGTCTTGCATGCATGGCAAATGACTCGCATTCTTCGAAACTAATCAAATCAAACAAAAACACAGTCCTTATCCAGAAAAACATGCTGGCAACTACCAGTCTAGGCCGAGGTCCCACACCTCCTTGCCGAGGTGTTGCCTCGATGGCCACATTTAAGGAAATGAGGTCGGGGAAAATCTGGGTTTCCCTCTCTTGAAGAACACGTCGAACATGAAGAACATGAACATGAGGGAGATGAATGCAAAGATCAAAGCTTGTTATTACAAAAGCTGAGATTTCATGCTATGAATTCAAAACATGGACCTGGGTACCCATACTCGAAGATCCTATGAAAACAAACACAAAAGCATGAATCTTAATGCAAACTTTCGGATCAAACAAGACTTTTTCTTCAAAAACACATGAACACTATCTTCTCTTTCTAAAACCAACTTTAAACCAATGCATAACATGCAGAACAGGTTCGATCGTGCAATGCAGCTATATAAACATAAGGAACAACAAAATTAAATTAAGAATCTAACCTCAATACGCGAATCTAACGGTTTGATCTCTAGGAATCAAGCTTGAAAGCCCACTCTCTCACTCTAAAACTTCTTCTTCTTCTTCTAGAGCTTCTCTCTCCTCACAAACAAAGACATATAGCAAATGATATATTTCTAGGTCTGCTGGCTGACTTAACACTCAGCTGGGACACGTGGCACTACCGGGTTGGTTCTCCTCAAAAAGGTGGCTGAGCGAAAAGACAAGACTATGACAAAGTGTGTTCAACAAGCAAGATGGCATGGGCACTCCGGCGGGTAATGATCTCGGCTAAGAACAAGACATCGGCAAGTAGGGGAACAATGATCTCGGCTAGGAAGGACAACACTTGACTAAGCTATGCCACACCTTGGCCTAGATGTGCCACACCTTGGTCTAGGTCACACCACTCCAGGACAAGATCACTTAGGTGCAAAGGTAACATCTCGGCCTAGATAATACACATCTTGGCCTTGGTGATGAACACCTCAGCCTAGATAATGACATCTCGGCCAATATGTCAGGGCGAAGGTGGAGGTCAAACAAAGTGGTTCCAAGGGAGTTCTAGACTAAAGATGACATCGGCTAAACTCACACCAAGCAAGGTACAAAACATGCGAGAAACAATTAAGCAAGACGAATCAAGGTTTGCGAAGATGCAACATATCAAGACAAGATCATGTAATATATGCAGCATGACTAGGGTAGAGTGAGGGTTGTTACATGTTTACTTGTGGATGATTTTTTTTTCCTTGGTGTTCAATTCTATCAATTTAATGGTTCATTTTTCATGACTTCTTTAGGAATTGAGTCTTTCTCAAAACTATACTTTGAAGAAGCGGGCAAAGTTGCAGGGCTTTACATCATCCAGTACATATCGAACTCACTTAATTGGAAATTTGGATAGATTTCACTAAATCAGAAGACCAAGTCAGGTGGATCAGTTTCTTTGTTTATTATTGGTTAATTTCCCAGATATATAAGGAATAGATTACTAGTTTCAATTTGTTTGCCTGAATTATCAGCCTAATACATGCTAGTGGTAGGTTCTTATGTTCTTGTTTTAGTAACAGATGTGAATGATAACTGTACCAAAATTATCCTGGGTCAGATTGGATAAATCAGTGACGGCACAACACCTAGTTAAGCCCTTGTTAGAAGTGTCTTTTAAAATCTCACTATATTTGATATGCAGGAAAAAATGTGAGCCCAGCAATCCAAATTTTTGGCAAGCATTACTTCAATTACAAATGATGGATTGAATGGTTCAGAAGGTGGAGAAGAAGCATGCCCCTCTGATATCAAAAGCGACACTGGAGAGCCTACACAAGATGTCTGCTTTCTTTGCCATGACCCAAATTCTAAAATTACCATTTGAGCATCAGTGATTACAAATTCGTTTTTCTTTTTTAAATTCCAACTTAAACTCATACGGATGTTTTTATTTGTATTCTTGAAACAAGAAATCCAGGCTTCTGAGTCTCATTGACAGAGGTCCCCCATCATGGGAACAAGTTTGCTAGTCAAACGAGGAACACCTAAAAATTTTTATAGTAAGTTTTGGGGTTAGTATTTTTTGAAGCTATTTCTCTTGTTCCTAGATTATGACCTAAGGGTTATGAACTTATGATCTTCTATGTGTGAAGGAAGTAGATTTTTTTGAGAATGATTGCTCAAAACTGTTTCTTACTATTGTTACAAATATAATTATGTCTCAATCACTTGAGAATCCCAGGACTTTAAAGCTTTTACTAAGGAACCATGAACTAAAGCATCAGGGGGTGTCGTGTAATTTACCCTTTCAATTTTGAGTGTTTGTTCGTGGCTTTGCCTCCAATAGAGTATTTTCTTAAATGTTTTCCTGTCCTTTAACAAGAAAATGCCTCTCAGGAGATTTTAGTTGTGGAAAAGCAAGCTTTCTTAACTTCCCTTGTTCCAGAATTCTTTCATGATATCCCGACAACCAAAAGGAATAAAGTGATTCTGCAGCAACGCTTTAAACTTGCCTTCATTTCAAGGTTCCTTCAGCATGCATAATTAATTGAACATTGCTACATAGGCATACACTTGTAACTAAAGTTTTCTGTCTGTCTTTTCACAGTTGCGATAATATTGATAAAGTAGGGTTTCTTTAAACATGTTGCTAGACATGTGCATGTATTGAAAAGGCATATGTAATGTTTTTACACTGCTAATACAGGTATGTTAGACTCATTGTTTTTGAAGGACTCATTGTAGATCCAGATCAGGTAGTAGTCTGCTTTAGTCTCTCGTTTTCTCCAGTTGATAGCAATTGTTTATTTTAGTATCTTGAATAATGAACTTTTTATCTCAGGGGGCGTTACCCTGCCCTGTATGCTACAGGCTAATTATCCTCTACAAACAGGGAAACTAATTTCCTTCGCTTTCGGGAAGCCTTGTCTCTTTTACACAGTGCTGCTGATGTTGCTGAGAGGAGTGAAATCCTAAAAGCTTTTCCAGTGTCTCAAAAACTTTTTTTTTTTTTGCCGTAGTTTGTAATAGACATTTAAAGACAAATTTTGGTTGTCTCAAAAATCAAAACTTTTTACAACCACATATTTTTGTCTCTAAAAGTTTATTTATAGTAACAAATGCAAAATTTTGTCTCTAAAATTCAATTTTTGCCTTTTCCGGAAGAACCATTGGAGACAAACCTTGCGATGAACAAAATTAGTTGGCTAAAGTTTTTTCCAACAAATATTACACTTCTAGGGACGGAATAAATTTGTCCCTAAAAAGCTAATTTCTTGTAATGAGTGTTTCTGCCAATACTTTTACAAAAATTATCTATTTAAGAACTTTAATTAGTTGCTTTTGTTACCGAGTTTGGACACTAATTGGTTGAAGATATTCATGCATTTGTTCTGCAACAGGGATGGGAATGTACCTATTTCTTTATCCAAAAGTACCTGATGAGGAAACTAGATCTTATAAGCGAAAATGAGGTAAGTGAATCATCTGACCTATTTTGCAAATATTATAATTTTGTTTATTAATCTAGTAAAATCTTGTACAAAAGAAAATGAATCAGAGTCAGATGATGTAGAGTTTTGTTTAATTGCTGAGATGTGTAAAAATCTTTCTTTACCTTAGAAGCATTTGGTTTGGTTATTGTGAATGGCAAGCAGATTATATTTTAATGTGAATAGCTAGTTTGTGTTTATGTGCATGCGTAAACAACATAAAGAATTAGAGACAAAGGAAAATTTACAATTAGAAAACATAATTTACATTATTCTACTTTAAATCTTAAATTATGATTATTGTAATTGTTTGACATTTACAATCTTAATATTAATAACTGGATTCAGATAGATTCAGACTCGTCTATTTAGCTAGAAGACAATTTTTTTTTCTTTTTTCAAATGACTAGCAGACATTGCTATTTGCGTGGAGGCAATTCTAGCACTCAGACATTAGGGTGTTGTTTCTTTTTCTCCCAATGTCGCACACTTTTCTGCAGCAACAATACTTACCATCGATGCACAGTTATGACACTCTTGTTTTGCTACTAGTTCAAGCGTCTTAGATCACAAAATAGCAATGAAGCCTTCAACTATAGATACCATGATATGCTAAGCACGGATTTGGACACATGACACGATACGACACAAACATACCGACATGCCAATTTAAAAAAAAAATAATCCAACTGAGTTTCATAATTACCACGCGTAGCGAAAATAAAAAACAACCCCTAAACCACTATATGGACATCACGGGAAACATCCTCACGCCAAATAGGACCTGTTGCAACAAACAGAATGTAATTAGCACGCGTAAGTTGGGAGTTTGAGCCGAAAATGCCATACACTTTGTCGAAAAAGGACATTCGGGGGGGCAAAAAATGCAAAATAGTCCTTGACCACTACATGCATGTCACGGCCAACTTCTTGGTGACAAATATGACCTGTTGCAACAGACGGAATGTAATTAGCATGCGTAGGTTGGGAGTTAGAGCTGAAAACGCATTAAACTTAGTCGAAAAGAGGCATTTGGGGGGGGCAAAAATGCAAAATAGCCTCTGACCACTAAATACATGGCACGGAAAGCTTCCTCGTGACAAATAAGACCTGTTGCAACAGACGGAATGTAATTAGCACGCCTATGTTGGGAGTTAAAGCCGAAAACGCCTTAAACTTAGTCGAAAAAATGAGTTCGGAGGGCGAAAATGCAAAACAGCCCCCGAACCAATGTATTCATGTTGTGGAAAGCTTCCTCATGACAAATAGGACCTGTTGCAACAGACGGAATGTAATTAGCATGCGTAGGCTAAGAGTTAGAGCCGAAAATGCCTTAAACTTAGTCGAAAAAGGGCGTTTGGAGGGTGAAAACGCAAAACAGTCTCCGAACCACTATATTCATGTCACGAAAAGCTTCCTCATGACAAATAGGACCAATTATAATAGACGGAATGTAATTAGCACGTGTAGGTTGGGAGTTAGAGCCAAAAACGTCTTAAACTTAGTAGAAAAAGAGCATTTGGGGGGACGAAAAATGCAAACCAGCCCCCGACCACTACATGCATGTCACAGCCAGCTTTCTCATGACAAATATGACCTGTCGCAACAGACGAAATGCAATTAGCACATGTAGATTGGGAGCTAGAGCCGAAAACGCCTTAAACTTAGTCGAAAAAAGGTGTTCGGAAGGCAAAAACGCAAAATAGCCCCTGAACCAATGTATTAATGTCACAGAAAACTTTCTCATGATAAATTGGGCCTGTTACAACAAACGGAATGTAATTCGCACGTGTAGTTTGGGAGTTAGAGCCAAAAACGTCTCAAACTTAACCAAAAAACTACGAAACAGCCACCGAACCACCCTATGAATGTCGCGGCTAGCTTCTCCATAACAAATAGGACATGTGACAACAGACGGAATGTAATTTGCACTTGTAGGTTGGGAGTTAGAACCAAAAACACCTCAAACTTAATCGAAAAAGGGCGTTAAGAGAGCGTAACTGCGAAATAGCCCCCGAACCACAGTATTGATGTCACAGACAGCTTCTCCATGACAAATAGGACCTGTGACAATAGACAAAATATAATTCGCACATGTAAGTTGGGAGTTAGAGCTGAAAACGTCTCAAACTTAACCAAAAAATGGCGTTAATGGGGCAAAATTGCAAAACAGTCCTTGAACCACTATATGGATCTCACAACCAGCTTTGCTGTGACAAATAGGACCTGTGACAATAAACATAATGTATTTTGTACGTGTATGTTGGGAGTTAGAGCCGAAAACGCCTTAAATTTAACCGAAAAAGAGCGTTAAGGCGGCGAAAATGAAAAACAGTGCCCAAACCACCGTATGGATGCCACGGACAGCTTCTCCATAACAAATAGGACCTGTGACAATAGACGGAATGTAATTCGCACGTGTAGGTTGGGAGTTAGAGCCGAAAATGCCTCAAACTTAACCAAAAATAGGCGTTAAGGGGGCGAAATTGCGAAACAGCCCCCGAACCACTTTATGGCTGTCACAACCAGCTTCTCCATAACAAATAGGACCTATGACAATAGATGGAATGTAATTCACACGTGTAGGTTGGGAGTTAGAGCCAAAAACGTCTCAAACTTAACCGAGAAAGGGCGTTAAGGGGGTGAAACTGCGAAACAGCCACCGAACCGCCCTATGGATGTCGTAGCCAGCTTCTCCATGACAAATAGGACCTCTGTGAATAGACGGAATGTAATTTGCTGTTGTAGGTTGGGTGTTAGAGCCAAAAATACCTCAAACTTAACCGAAATAGGACGTTAAGGGCATGAAACTGCGAAACTGCCCCCGAACCATCGTATAGATGTCACGGCCAGCTTTTCCATGACAAATAGGACCTGTGACAATAGACGAAATGTAATTCGCATGTGTAGGTTGGGAGTTAGAGCCGAAAACACCTTAAACTTAACTGAAAAAGGGTGTGAAGGGGTCGAAATTGTGAAACAGCCCCCGAACCACCGTATAGATGTCACGGCCAGCTTCACCGTGACAAATAAGACCTGTAACAACAGACGAAATGTATTTCACACGTGTAGGTTGGCAGTTAGAGCTGAAAATACCTTAAACTTAACTGAAAAGGGGCATTAAGGAGGCAAAAATGCAAAATAGCCCCCAAACCACCATATGGATGTCACGGACAGCTTCGTCGTGACAAATAGGACCTGTGACAATAGACAGAATGTAATTCGCACGTGTAAGTTAGGAGTTAGAGCCAAAAACGTCTCAAACTTAACCGAAAAAGGGCGTTAAGGTGGCAAAACTATGAAACAGCCACCGAACCGCCCTATGGATGTCACGGCCAGCTTCGCCGTGACAAATAGGACCTGTGACAACAAAATGAATGTAATTCTCACGTGTAGGTTGGGAGTTAGAGCCAAAAACGTCTCAAACTTAACCGAAAAATGGCGTTAAGGTGGCGAAACTGCGAAACAGCCACCGAACCGCCCTATGGATGTCACGGCCAGCTTCACTGTGACAAATAGGACCTGTGACAACAGACGGAATGTAATTCGCACATGTAGGTTGGGAGTTAGAGCCAAAAATGCTTCAAACTTAACCGAAAAAGGACGTTAAGTCAAAACTATGTTGCTACGTGTTTAACATTTCTTTGGTTTCATTATTGGAGTTCACCTCATGATATGATGATTGGCCTCTCAAAGTCAAACATAACAAATTATATATTGTATGCCTCTAAGGCTCCGACTTTTGTAACGTTGATAATCTTAATATTGAAGCAAGATTATTTCTTTCGTTTTCTGTCAGATAAAAATAACAATATGAAGCTTCGAGACATTGGTCATCTATGAAAATAACAATATGAAGCTTAGAAGGAAAATCTCAAAATAGTACAAGAATGGAAAGCTGCAAGTCTGAGGTAGTATATGTTTACAACCACTACAATTTACAACGGTTGTTGTCAACAAGTCCTATACCTAAATTTTGTTTGTTTTTATCAAATTTTGAGAAGGTTTGATATCATACCCTGAAAAATCTGATAAAAAATCCAAGTATTTTCAATTGTGGATGAGCATACATTCATTACCCATTAATGATTAGCCTTAGTTGTTAAAATTTAAGTGTAGATTTTGGGATTTTCATAGTTGCATAAAAGAATCTCCCAATTCTCACCTAAGTTTTTGTTTGTTTTCAGCAAACTTTGAGAGGTGTAGTTTTCATCAAACAATGAGGGTAAATTACACCATTGACACCTCTATTTATAACCACAACTACGGCATGTAGATAAAAGGGAAACCTCACCAACTCTAGTTTAAAGATTGACAACTTTATGAAATGTGAATTCCACAGATTCTAATAATTGCCTTTGTATATTTATAGGACGATGAAATTATAGAAAAAAAAAATTGTGCAGTTGGTTGGAATAAATATTGCATGATACATATATATGCTTTTATTTCCAAGAAGGCATTTATAGATTGTTCTACCTTAAATGCATGTTACAACATTTTTCCTATGTCTAGATCAATTGATATTTTGTAACCAATTGCAATCTTTTTTTTTTTTGTAGATGGCTTTTTGTACGGACTTGTGGATAATCCATTTTGGTGTATGGAAAAGAAATTACACTTTTGTATACAACAAATACTTTTGTCATTCTCGGCTTTTGTGTAGTTCACTATTACTGATACGGAAAACTTTTGGAAACCAACTAGTAATACCTGTCGTGGTACGTATATCACCTTTTGCCGTGGTACATATATCACCTTTTGTCATGGTACATAGATCACCTTTTGTTGTGGTACAGATTACGATGGTAATTTGTACCATGCCAAATGGTCATTTTACATGCTAGTACATGTATTTTTTGTATACGGAAGACAAGATTTTTGTATGAGCCTATATTTTTTATGGAATTATTATTTCAATTTAGGCAATAGTTGGTTTGTATGGACTTTGACATTTAAAATTATTCATTTTTTGTATATGGATGCAGGTGTGGAATGATTGATAGTGTACATATTGTTTTGTTTACATAAGTATTACAAGTTGCATGAAATATAGACAGGTTGTGAAGAAATTATAATTTTGCGATAAAACATAAGATCATGTTTTTGATGACTAAATTGTTAACAGCTAAAAAAAAATTGGAAAAATAGTTTTGGCTACTAAAAGTTTAGTAGCCAAAAAAACAATCAAACATTTGGCGACTAAAAGTTTAGTAGCCAAAAAAAAAAATAAACATATGGCGACTAAAATATGTCGTAGCAAAAAATAAGCTGAAGAATAAAAAAAACTTTTGGCTACTAAAACTTTAGTAGTAAAAATTGTGAGATTTTAGGCGACCAAATGTTTAGTAGCCAAAACACAAAATGTTTGCCAACTAAAATCTTACTAGCCAAAAACATATGACATTTACTTTAAGCCACTAATATATTTAGTAGCTTCAAATCTTTTCCGCGACTAAATGATTAGTCGTTAAAAATAAGTGAAGTGTTTATCGACAAAAAAAATTAGTCACCGAAAATATGATATTTAATTTTATTTCAAACATTTTGGCAACTAATGTTTGGCAACCGAACTTTTTAGCTAAAAAGTTACTAAATTAGTCAAAAAGTCAACAACTCATACCAAAAAGTCAAAGATTCTCTTTTCTCTCTACTTTTTACACATTTTTCGTAAAAAGTCAAAAAGTCATCCCAAATATACTAGTTTTTTTTAGCTCATATTTTAGCCAAATAGCTAAAAAGTTACTAAATTAGTCTGTTCTCAAACGGGGCCCGTCGACAATGTAGCATATTTGGCAACTAAAATGGTTTTAGTCACTAATGATCTTTCTCGACAATTCTTTCACGACTAATACTGCGACCAAATATTTTTGTCGCTAAAAGCCTTCGGCAACTAAAGATTGACTTTTGGCGAAAATTCTTCTAGTGTTTCTCTCTATAACTCTTTTCCTCTTTGTCTCTCTACAAACACTTAAAAACTTATTAACTTCTTGATCACCTCATTTTAAATTAGAATCTCACATTGCTCCTTTGACCAAAAATGTAGAGTGCATCAAGAGCGTCATTCTTACCAAAGCCGATCTTCAATGGGACAACTTCAAAAATTTGAGTCTCTTCCTTCTCCTCCTTAAAATTGAAATGGACCATATGTTAAATAAAAAAATTTAAAAAAAAAATACTGAAATTCAAAATTTCGATCAATTTTAAGTGATTGGTTCAATTCTATTGGATTTTTTTACATTCCTACAAAATATCCATGTTTCTCATCGTTAGTAGTTTTGACTTTATTTAATACTGTTAGTTGTGATTACTCAAACGTCCAATCGATTTAGAGTTTGAAAAATGGTTCAAATGAATTGTCCAAGTCCAGATTCCACTGATTGGAAAAGTCAAAAGTCGGAAGGCCTATCTAAATGCTATTAGCATGGAGATCATCATACATTACCAGTTTCAAGTTAGGGAATTAATCCCAAGAATAGTTGTGATGAATATTACCATTCAACAATGTTATGTAATTTGAATTTAAATTTGTCTGAATAGTTTGAGTTTTGACTTATCAATTATCCGATAACAAAGTAATAGTCATAATCGACATAAATAGTATTGCACCGATCTTCCGAACAATCGTCTGAGAGTCAGCTGACATGTACAAATTCGAGTTATTCGGTCAAACTCAAATTCAAGTTAACAAACATTTTTCATTATCATTTTTATTGAAATGGGATTGCTAAATTGGTCCAAATATTTTTGAAAATAAGTATTATCATATGTTTCAATTTATTTGTCTTGGGAATGGTCCAAGTTCCACATTTCAAGTCTAAAGAAACTGGTCCAATTAGAATTGGTATGAACATTATCATATTTTGTCAGTTTTAGTTCGGGAACAATCCAAATATTATTGGTAAATTGACAGGGTCTAGAAATTGGTTAGGAATATTATCGTACTTTCCAATTTTAAGTTTGGAAATGATTCTAATAGTTTCAGTGAGTTAACCTGGTCCGGAAATCATTATGAATGTTATCATATTTTTTTTAATTTTAAATCTAGAAGCAATCTAAATTTGGTGAATAATATCATATTCTTAGAAGTTTTAAAAAATAAAATAAAATAAAATAAAAATGGTGAATTACACTAATGGTTCCTTTAGTTTTGAGCTTGTGTCATTTTGGTCCCCGACTTTTCAATTGTGACACATTTGATTCTGAATTTTGAATCTTGTTCAAATAAGGACAATTATAGATGCAATTAGATTTTTCAAGGGTAAAATCGTCAATTTGATAAAATATAAATTAATTTGACAAAACTAAATTTCAAAACATTATTTTTAAATTTTTAAAAATTATTTCTAGCTACTAAAGATAAAATTATATAAAATTGATAAATCTTTTAGATATATTTTTTTTATGAAATTAATTTTTATTATGTATTTGGATGATAATAATGTAAAATTAATTTTTATTAATTAAGCATGTAATTTTTATTAATTTTTATCAATTTTACATAATTTTATTTTTGATGGGTATAAATAATTTTTTAAAAATTTTAAAATATTTTTTTGATATTTATTTTTGTCAAATTAATTTATATTTTATCAAATTAACGATTTTGCCTTTGAAATTAAGCAATGATATATTCAATTGTTCTTATTTAGAACAAGATTTAAAATTTAAAATCAAATATATCACAATTAAAAAATTAAAAATTAAAGTGACACAAATTTCAAATTATAAAGACTATTAATTTAATTTTACCAAATAAAAATATCGGTCATGTACTTTGAAAAAGTTGGATCTTTGACCGAGCCTAGCAGTAAATATTGTGGGGCGCATTTTTCTTTCAACTCTTAAATGATTAATATTCCTCTACGAATGTGACAATCTCATACGTAAGTGGGGAACGATAATTACTTGAGTCTCGCCTGAAAATAGGTTAATTTAGTAATTTTTTAATTATTTAGTTAAAATATAAATTTAAAAAAATTAATATATTTAAGATGACTTTTTAACTTTTTACAAAAAGATGTGTAAAAAGTAGAGAGAAAAGAGAATCTTTTTTATATGAATTGTTGGCTTTTTGATTAATTTAATAACTTTTTGACTTTTTTGCTAAAAAATTCGGTTGTCAAACGAGGCGACGTAACTCTTAGAAGTGGGTTGGCTTTTGATTTTTTGATTTTTTTAACTATTTTAACTTGGGTTAAAAAGTTTAGTTTTAAAAGGATTTTTTGACTTTTTAACTTTTTTGTGAAAGAAGAGTGTAATGATTATGGGTTGGATGTAATGTTTTGTTTGTTGTGACTAAAATAACCTATTTTATCTTTTATGACTATTTTAACCACAAACTATCTTGCCAAACGAATCCTTAATAATCTAAATAATCAGAAATCACTTTATCATTCTAATGAATCATTGGGGTCTAAAATCACATTTCCATTTTCCCTCACCAATATTATCATTCATTTAAACATAGCTTAATGGAATTGTAAAAAAATAAATAATTCTTCGTGAGATTAAAATAACAGAAAATATTTTTCAGGAAATATTTTAAGGTCCAACCAAACACAAGAAAAAAAGGCAGTTTTGAGAGGAAAATATTTCTGCTTCCCAAACAAATAGAGCGCTATGATAAATTTTAAAAAAAAAATCTCAATTCATCTAGAAAATAACTAATTAGACTAATTCCTTACAAAAATACAAAAATATTTATAGGAAACAAAATCAAAGAATAAAATTTAAGTTAAGCCACGATTTTAATACTAAACGGCTAAAAAGGTGTCCAACAAAAGGCAAATAAAATAGGAGAGGTTATTTGATAGTCTTACAGTAATATTTTATACCATTTAACTTGTGATATTTGTTTTAATTTCTTCTAAAATTATTATTGTAAGATCACTTGTGGGGATATAATTTTGAGTGGTCCATGTGGCCTAGGTGGTTAGCCAAGGTGCCATGTGCGTAATTCTAAATTGCCAAGGTGTGATCAGATTACACTTGAATTCGAGATATTCAGATACAAGATAAGAGTTACAGATAATGACAGACTCTCTGTTTGGATTGGGTACGACTTTTGCGAAAGTTAATCCTACTTTAAATTGAGAGTCCTAGATAAGTGTTATCCTTGAAAGGAATAATAGTCTTATGAAGTAAGACTTCTAGGGGACGAGGGCACTGATGATTATAAAAGGAAGGCACCCATGTAGGTCTAAGGTAAGTTTTTTCTTGATGCTTTTACTTAAGAGTTTTTATGCTTTAACTGATATTTTGTGAGATTTGTTGACTGACTTGATCGTCGGAATACCTCCGAGTAGACGAGTCACCATCTTGTTATCTTTCTTGTGTGTAGATGTTAGGCTTCTCTATTCTTGCACGTACTTTACGGTCTCATTCCTAGATTCTTGGGTTAGAGATTTCATTTGGTTGTGAGGTCATATTTCAATACTCACAATTTGGTATCGTCTGTGAGGACTTAGTCGGAATAGATGGTCAACATAGTACATGAGACCAATTAGTGAGTACCAAGTGGCAGTGATGGTTGGATTGTCAAACCTAGGGTTTGGCAAGAGGAGACACTCGGGTTCTTGTCTTTTGAAGTCGATAAGTCATGATCTCGAATGGCGGAGTACCCGTCAGCATGTTGTTTAGTTGACATATTGGGAGTTTAGACTCCAGGTTCCATCACCTTAGAATAGCCAAGGTAATAGAACCTATGAGGCAATTGTGGAGACATAATTTTGAGTTGTCTACATGGCTTAAGTGGTTAGCTAAGGTGCCATGTGGGTGTTTCTGATTAGTCGAGGCGTGGTCAAGACATTTTAGAATTCGAGATGTTTGGATGAAGAACAAGAGTCCTAGATAATGACCGACTCTCTGTTTGGATAAGTGAGAATTCTTAAGAGAGTTAATTTTAATCCAAATTGGAGGAGTTGTTGATAGGTGATATCCTTGAAAGGAATAAAAGTCCTATGAAGTAAGACTTTTAGGGATCGAGGGTGTAGACATCCCATTTTGACTAACCCTAACATTTCGAACGCTTGCAAGTTTCTCAATGATGAAATGGTAAATTATTTCATCTTTAGAATGTTTAAGGATGTTTGGAATTGCTCTGTAAACTCGTTTCGGCCAAAAAAAAAAAAAAAACTGACTTTTTGCCAAAATAACCATAACCCTGAACTCGTTTTTAACTGAAAATCAACTTTTTAACACTAAGAAGGAGATAAAAGCACTATTGTGCACTGATCAAACGTATGTTCTAAAATTAGTGACCCGTTTTATTAAAAATATTTATTAGGAGACAATACGGACTTACTTGGGCCACAAGCAAGCCAAGATCATGCAATGCATGCAGGGATGACATGTGTACCATTGCAAAGGGTATGTGTGCACGTTCCTCGTGCGTGTAAACCTTATCAGTGCGTGCACACATCCAAACATGATAATGTTATTTTTGAAATCTCAATCTTGGTGCATTTTTTATGGAAGGCGGAGGGAGAAAGTTATGGAACCCTAAAAGAGGCTCCAGAACCTTCTCTTCTCCCTATGAAAAGGGCCTCTCCCCCTTCCTTTCAAGTGGTTTAGACTTGAGGCATTTTGAGAGCACCTGAGACCAAACACCACTTTTTCTTCTCCTCTTTGCTTTAGCCACGAAATTTCCTCACCCACAGAAACTCCAAACTTCTGCAAATTAACCTAAGGCCTAAAGAACTCAAACTAAGTCATAACCAAAGCTTGAGGGAGGCTTGTAAGCAAGAAATCCATTGTTTTTTTTGCTGTTTTTTTGCAATTTTCTTCGCGTGCCTTTGGTTTATATAAACCAGCAAGTAAAGCTCCTCTATTTCTTATATTTCGGTACTTTTTAGTCTCTTATTTCAGTATTCAAAGCATGTTACGATATTATGTCATCCTCTCATCATGTAGTTTATTCATTATATTCACCTTTTCACCGCCTCTTGCATGTTTTCTTTACTCTCATTAGAACAGCATGTTTAAGTTAATTTAATCATGTAAAAATCATGTGTTAAGCCCGATTTGGATCATCATATAGTTTAGTTTATATTTATACTTGTTAGTTGTATTCTACGCATAAGCATCATTAGTAGTCTCAAATCAAATCTATGTTCATGTTTTTGTATGTTAGTTGTATGATTAGGTCATATTTATTTTATGCATGCATGTAAAACGCATAAGTGGATATCCAGGTAAGTCCTCTCCATCTCCTTTGCATGTGCTTGCTATTGTATTATTTTTCAATTATGCAAGTTAGATGCTCTTTGTGTGCAAAGTTATATGTTTTGAATATTTTGTGAATGTTATTAATTTTGTATTGATTTATGGCCATGGATTATTAACAATTCACTTCTCATTAAAAAATCCTCATTTTTGTAAAATATGCCTTTATTCCCTAATCTAAAATAAATGATATTTATTTTTCTTCAAATCAAGTTGTTTTAGGTTAATTAAAAGTTTTAGGTCTAATAATGAGGTTTGTGTGAAATAATTAACCACTAAAATGAAAGTAAGTAGATGCCAATGTTCAGATTGGGAAAAAAGGAATGCTTCCATATAAATGGCCTTCCCCCTTTTGTACCTAAACTCCTGAACTTAGAAATTTTCTAATTATGACGGACTGGACCTTAACTTAGTTTTTATTGTTAAATGTTTCTTAATTCTCCTTAAAAAAATTAAGTGGCGACTCTTTATTGGTCAAAACAAGCTGGTGTGGAAAGTAACGCCTTAGATTCGAAAAAGGCACGGCACCCACAGAGGGCACTGATGGTTATAAAATGAAAGCACCCCACGTGAGTCTAAGATATATTTTTTCTTGCTGCTTTTAATTGATAGTTCACTACAAAAAAAAATTAAGGTTTTAGAAATCAAAATTTAGGGACAAAATTATTTTTTAGAAACCAAATAATTTTGTTGCGAAAAGTATAGTTATTATATTTTTAGCAATAAAAATTAGACATTAGTGATGAATTATTATCCTTTTAGGACCAAGTTTTTTGTCTAAAAAAATAAACCATTTTGAAACCAAATTATTTTGTCACTAAAAGTTTGTTTATTAGTGACAATTTTTAAATTTTGTTGCTAAATGCCTTGTTTTTTACTTTTCGGGACGACCTTTTAGCAACTATCCTCATGACAATGGAAATTGGTCCTTAAATATCTTATGCAACAAAAATTTCACTTTTAGAGACCAAAACATTTGGTTTCTAAAACTCTTATATGTTGTAGTGATTGTTTACTTGAACTGAGATATTTATAAGATTTATTGTCTGACTTAATTATCGGAGTGTCCCGGTGGACGAGCCATTGGCCTTGTTATCTTCTTATGTGCAAGTGTTGGATTTATTTATTATTACTCATAACTCTATGACTTAGTTCTTAGGGTCTCAACGAAGAGATCTGATTTAATTGTGAAGTTAAAATTCAACATTAAATAATATAAAATGGTTGATCCCACTATTCAAACTTACAAAAACGGCAATGATAGAGATCACTAAAAGTGATACTCTAAAACAATCACTAATGATGTGACATCCACTTAAAATAAAATAAAATAAAAAACAGACACAACAACACTGTGGCAGTGGGTGAGACCTATTGCCACATCATTAGTGATGGTACTAATTAATGCTCTCACTCATTTTTCCTTACAGAAATTAGGTTGGGACATGAAATGACCTTACTTGAGGAGCACTGGAGCACTCAATAATTTTCAAGAAAACAATAACAAACAACTCACCAGACTCACCACAGAAAAATGCGAGGAAACTGTTCAATTCAAATTATGGTAAACAAAAAAATATAGAACTCATAGAAACAAAATTGAAACTTAACTTTATACTTATAATAACGTGGTCAAAATTGTGAGTAAAATTTTCAAATTTATTTTATGGGCACCTAGTGTTGCTTGCTGTCCTGTAAAACTGGAAGAAAACCGAAAACATGGTAAAATTCTGAATTTATTAATCGGAAATTTTGGACATTGATGGCGATCGAACTTTGGGGTCCGTGCATGCAACTCGTGACCTTGTACGACCCACACCCACAAACAGTAATCAAAATAGAGAAAGTAACAAAAGGAAGAGACTGCCCCGTGACACAACAGATCACAAAACTACAACACACTCTACTCTTGCGCCTTCTTCTAGTCCCATTCCTTACAATTCCAGGTTAAATACTACAAATATAAAGTAAGTGATAAAAACCCAACAAACAACACCGAAAGATACCTTACTATTATTACTACTATTAGCACCACACAAATCACCATCTAACAAAAGATCCCAATAAAAAAACAAAAAACACACAGTGGGAGAGAGAGAGAGAGATGATGATGATGATGGGGAATCTCAGGTACAGAGTTCACGAGCGACACCGAGCCTAGAATTGGGGATGTCGAAGAGGAGCCTGTGGTTTTGTTGCTGCATGTTGGCAATGACATTGAGGACTGAGTTGACATTGTCAGGCGCTGCTGCCATGGCTAGACATGTGATGCTTCCTGCTGTGCTGTGGATCAAGTAGTTGTCTGGTGGTAATGTCACGTTCATCCCTGTGAACATAAGTGTCACCGTTGGCGCCACTATGGGGAACGAATAGCACGTGTCGAATCCTCCCAATGTTGTCACCGTCGCGTTTACACCTACCCTCCTTCGGAACTCATCTCTCACCGCTATGTAGGCTGGCTGGACTAGTCTCGTGAACACCGTCCCTGATACATACATGCATATGTTTAAACCAATCACACTCATGTTTGAGGGGTAATTATAATCGATACATGCTATTCCATAATATTATGATTAGTGGAGAAAATAGGTAGATAAAGTATTGTATTGAGTGATTAGAAAACATAAAGAGACATATCGAATGATGATTGGTTAAGGAGTATAAACACGTGATATTTTGAAAATATTAGTAAATAATTTTTCATTTTTGAGATGATTTAAATAAATGCATATTTAAAATTTTTATAAAAACATACATAGAAAAATTTTAAAAATGATGTAAATATATTTTTTTTAACTAACAGGGTGTCAACAAATTTATTTATTTCTCTGATTACTGCTACTACCACCTGCGACCGACTGCCATTGCCGCTGGTCATTGGCGGAACTACATACCAACTGGGGGCTATGACTTCCATATTTTTTGAAAATTATATTAATACTATTATTATATTTTAAAGAGTATTTGTCAAATGATTAATGAAATTGTCCCCTAATTTTATAAAATAAAATAAAATAAATCACTTTAGTAATTTTTTATGTTATTAATATTTCATCACCTATAAGATAACTCTAATTATTTCACATGCCACTTAAATATAATCTGAAAGATTTTATTTATATAAGAGGCAAATGTTACTTCCTTTAATTTCTTTTATTTTAAAAATAAAAGTGCGATGTATACTTTTACTAACTATATTATTTTAGCGAATAAAATGACTTAATTAATAATTCAAAATTTTAAAAAATAATAAAATAGCAACTTTTTAGATTTATTTATTTATTTCTCATAAATTATTTATTTTTTTAAATCTTTATGTAAGAAATTATTTTGTGTTAGTAATGTATTAAAATCAACTCTATTACACACTCATGACATAATTTTTGGTTAATAATGCTATAATAACCATGTTTATAAACAATATGTAATTTATTATCTATTTTCTTTGAATTAGCACACTAGGGGTGGATATCGGCCTGATAGTCCGCCCAACCTAACTTGACCAGCCAAATACGATATTTTTAGGGCATAGGAAAAATATTTAATCCATAGGACCGAGTTGAACAAATTTTTTTAACTCATTTAATTTTCAAACTGGGTTTGGAATAAAGAGTATTCGAAAGGCCTGGCTTGGCCAGGCCAACCCATTTAGAAAATATTAATTTTAAATTTAAATTATTTAGTTACAAAATTAATTAAAATAATAATAACAGATAAAAGAAGAAAATACGTAGATTTTTTTTTTTCATAACTTAAACTAAGGTACTTTTTAAAAATTATATTTATTCTATTGAATTTTATTAATATTTTAAAATTAAATAATTCTTAAAATAATTAAGTTAATTTAATACCCTTCAAGTCAAAAAAAAAAATTATATCTAATGGATTAAATTGATGGACTTGAGATTTAGATATTATTTTAAAATTGAACTTAGAATGACAAGATTAAGCCCAGGTCAACCAATGTCAAACTTAGACGAGACATTTATTCTTATTATCTAATGTCGGCCGAGCCTAAATCCGACCCAACTCAATATTTATCGACCCCTATTATTAAGTTAAGCACATAGACTTGAAATTTAAAATTATGTCTAGTTCCCCGACGACTGCCCGTTCCCAAGTCACTGTCAATTGCTGTGTCCTGGATCACACTTGCGCGTGCGTACGCCAAGTGCTCCATTCACATGCCATGTGCAAGACTAGTACAATTTTATACACAATTAAATTATAGATGATAACAAAAATATATATACGAGTGTAAGATTTTTCGTGAGACCCATACCCACAAGTATTTATTTTTTAATAATAGAACAGCTTTCCACTTTACTCATAAATAATAATAATAACAATTTTATTTATAAATTTTGACACGGAAAATGGAAGTCATTCATGTTGTATGTACCATGCACTACACAAGGCAAAAAGTGAAATTTAGAGATAGAACCGCTAAGGATTCAAATCGAGCTGAGTTTTAATATGTTTGAATTTGTTTATTAAAATTTTAATGACTCCGAACTTGAGTCCGAGTTCAATAAAAATATAACAAACCGAGTTCGAATCAAGTTGACTTAAGTTTGACTCGAGCTCGAGCATGTTTACGAGTTTTAACGAGACAAAGAAATTATAAATCTATATTTACATATGAGACTAACTTTACCATTGAAACTTTAATTATACGACTATATATACAATATATGTAAACATACTATAAGAAAAGTCAATATTTTACAAACATAATAATATCTACCACTACTATTATATAAATATATTATCTATAGTTAGCTATTATTTACATTTACATTTTTTAAATATATAAATAACATACATATTAATATATTATTTAATATATAAATAATAAATATTAAACGAGTCAGTTTAAGAGCAGTTGAGATTTAATATGTTTAAATTTGTTTATTAAAAATTTAACGAGCCTCAAATTTAAGGATGTGTTTGATTTATGGATTTAGGAAGGGATTTGGAAAGAGAAAGCGGCAATCTGTTTGCGTGAAGTGTAGGTAAAATGTACTTATATTTCATTCACATTTCACTTATATTTTCCTTTTTCATTTCCAAATCCCTATTCAAATTCATGAACCAAACACAAGGTAAAGGTATATGGGTTCACAAAAAAGGTCATAGTTCGCCCTTTGTCCAAGTGTATTTAATTTATTTTGAAGAGCATGTGACATAGTTGATATGAAGCACTCCAATGGACAAACTTAGATTTAAGCATAAATTTGGGTGAAAGCATCACTAATGTTGTTAATTTGGAAGCTACAAAATAGTCTTGAAAAATTTGCATAAAAAAAAAAAGAAGAAAAAAAGGGAGAGTAAAACTCGTTTTGATACAAGTAAAGAAGTGGAGAGGGTTTTAGGGTTGAGTCCCTTAGCTGTTAAGAAAGCTTAAATAATTAAGCTCCGTTGGGGAAGCGAATTGACTTTTTAATTTTTTGATTTTTTTTGATTATTTTAACTTGAGTTAAAAAGCATGCGTGGAATATGTTTATTAAAAATTTAACGAGCTCGAGCTTGAACACAAAAAATATTTAACGAACAAAGTTTTGTAATATATATATATAGCCGAGCTCAAACCTATTCACAAACTACCTAGAGGTATTTTATTAAAGTTAAGCAGTTTAATTTTTTTTTATTATTATTATAATTATTATTATTCTTATTCTTTTATTTTTAGCGCATTTAAGGACATAAAGATTCTCTTTTGTTTAGATTCAATTTTTTTTTTTTACCCACTAATTTGGTGTCGGGGAAATATAAACTTCCCACGGAGATCTACCACCTAAAACAAACATGTTATCATTAATTTTTTTAATAGATTGTCTTCTCAACTGTTCATTCACCCAAAACAAAAGTCTTCTCTACTGTTGGAGTTCAATCTCCCTTGTATTAAATGGACCTACATCAATAATTTTTATAAGAATAACAATTTAAACATAAAATTTAGATTTACTTTTCAAACTCAATAATATGACAATCTATTAAAATATTTAAGACGATTTTTTTTCATATAAATTTTTTAATTATTAATCAATAATATAACTTATCTTTTTGATATCCGATCAACTTGATTTTTTACAGGTATGATATACTGAATAAATCATAAAATATGAACGGTTCGGATTATCAAAATTGGACCTAAAAGTAGACCCGAAGGCCTGCAAGGACGGACGCAAGCACGGGAGGTGCAAGGAGAGGATCCTCACTCAAACTAAAACAAGCCATATTAAAAAGTTGATAAAAAGTTAATTTTTTAATTTTTTTGACTTTTTTTTATGATTTTTTTGGTAAAAAAGCTGGTTTCCTTATTAAAAAAAATTGATTTTTTTAACTAAAAAATTTAAAAATTAAAAAGCTGACTTTTTTAACTTCTTCCCAAAACGCCCGCCTTTTTTAGCTTATAATGTGCCATGCCACTTCGTGGATGGAAACACATGATAAGGTGGTTCTAAACTTTTTTGACTCACATCTTTTACCTAAAGTTTCGCACCATGATTCTTACCATGTACCAAAATAACTACGAGCATTGTAAATCAGTTTAAAATATAGTAATTATAAAAATTTGAAGTCTTAGTCGGTATGCATTCTGCTACAAGTAAAATTTGTGATTTTACTTGTATCCGAGCATAAACTTCCACTTCCACTTCCACACCTCTATGTTTTTGTAATTATTTAATTTATTTTTCACTAATTTATAATTTTTTTAAATAACTTTATGTCAAGTATATGCCAGAAATTTATTAAAAGAAAAAATAAATATACCGGAGTCAAAAATTGTCCCTGCGCCGGTGATCGGATTAAATGCCAATGCTTGTGGAGGGATGCTAACAATTCGCCGGCCGACTCTAATGCCGAACATGTTCACATAGTAGAGCGATGATCTCCTAGGGTTCCTCAATAGCTGAGTGTACTTGATCCTCTTGGGTTGGCCAATGGGTCCAAGTCTTAGTGAACCAGAGAAGTTGCCAGACTTGAAGCTAGGAAGGCAGTAGGAAAATGTAGACTGGTAGATATTCTGGGTCTGTGACAATAGTGAGAGTGGCCCTCGACCCAAGCCCAAAAGGCCCTGCGGTGGCACAGAGCTGCCTGTGGCTTTTTGGATGCAACCGAAGGTATATCCAGGGACGGGATCGGTGGCAAGCATTACGGTGTCCTGTGAGAGGTTCGACACCACGGTGGAGCCGCCATAGGTTAGGTTGAAGCTGCACGCGCTGCCCTCGCACGTGGGATTTGGCACCTGAAAATTTTTCACCAACCAGTTTCACAAACTCAAAATACAATTCTATTTTCAAATTATATTTAGAAAATTCTACCAAACGCAACTTTTATATTCTTGAATGCACTAAAATAGGGTTTCAAGAAAATAGGAAATAATAATAATGACATCAACCAGTTTTCACCAACACAAATGCTAGGGTTACAAGAAAAAAAAAATTAAAAAACAAATTTTCTTACAAATATTGTAATATATATATATATAGTTATTTTTTCTGAATTTATGGACATGTTGTGTATATGAAGATTCAGAAATCTTTGCTCCGGTCTATGTTATTTTAGGCATTGATTGCCTTAATTTGAGGTCTTTGTTTTGGTTTACATTTTTAAAGATTATTTTTAAACGGATTTTTATTTATTTTTATTGAATTTTAAAAAAAAATTAATTAATTTTTTAACTATTTAAAAATATCAAGATTAGACATATTTAAAAATTAAATAAAATATAAAATAATTTTTGAAAGATCAAATAAAAAAGACACTGAGTTCTTCAGCGAAAGCGCACAAACGACAGTCACGGATTAGGTTGATGATTTTTATTTGAAAAATGCTTGGGAGCACTAATTAGTGCTCCCATTAATTAGATGGCAGTGGATTCTGTCATTAATGATGTGATGTTTTGGTCTTGGAATTGTATTTTTTGTTTTTTTAACTTTTTTAATGCATTAGTGCTATTAGTGATAATGTTTTTAATGAGATGAATCATTGTTGTTTTTATTTTACCTTTGTGGGCCCATTAATGATCTGGGGAATTTATCTTTGACATTTTGGTTAATTTATTTGAGAGGATAGATGTTTCGGTGCAATCAACATCATATGTAATCACATCACAAAGTTATGTAAATTTTTATAAATTTATATAAGTGATATTATTAAAATGCGTAAATTGAGCATAAATTTTTATAAGTTAGTGAAAATTTACTCAATTTTATAAATTTATGTGAATTTGTATTTAACTTATATATTTTTATGAAATTATATAAGTAAATTTGTAAAAATTTACTTAATTTTGTGGTAAAATTGAATATGGTGACGGAGAATTTTCCATAGGAAAGAGTCACGATAATATATTTTTATTTTAAATTAAAAAATTTAAAATGACATGATAATGATAAGTACAATATTTTAAATCTTAATAAAAATTTCAACTTACAACCTGTAAGCTCTGTTTGGCACAAAGGTTTTGGGGGGTTCAAATGTTAAAATTGACACAAAAAAGATAAAATAGATTAAAAAATTAATAAGATTAAATATTATATGTAAATCATAATTATTTTACTTTTTCTCTCATAAAAGTTAAAAAAAATCAAACCAGCCCAAATAAGATTTTTTAACTTAAGCTAAAATAGTAAAAAAAAAAATTAAAAATTAAAAAAACCAACCATATTCACAAACGAATCCAAAGTGTGATTTATCATGTTATATGAATTGTATCATCAAAAGATGGTCAATTTTAAGCCCCATTGCTTACGCATTGTTGTGCTGGTAGAGGACATTAGGCAACGTTTGATTAGTTTTTAAATTAATATTTAGATCAAAATATTAAAAACAATGTTTAGTTAATAAATTTTTATACCTACCATTGTTGTTTATATAAATGATATTATTAAAATGTGTAAATTGAGCATAAATTTTTATAAGTTAGTAAAAATTTACGTGATTTTATAAATTTATGTGAATTTGTATTTAACTTACATATTTTTATGAAATTATTTAAGTAAATTTGTAAAAATTTACTTAATTTTGTGGTAAAATTGAATATGGTGACAGAGAATTTTCCATAGGAAAGAGTCACGTTAATATATTTTTATTTTAAATTAAAAAATTTAAAATGACATGATAATGATAAGTACAATATTTTAAATCTTAATAAAAATTTCAATTACAATCTTTAATAAGAATTTCAACTACAACCTGTAAGCTCTAGTTTGGCACAAAGGTTTTGGGGGTTAAAATGTTAAAATTGTCACGAAAAAGATAAAATAGATTAAAAAATTAATAAGATTAAATATTATATGTAAATCATAATTATTTCACTTTTTCTCTCATAAAATTTTAAAAAAACCAAACCAGCCCAAATAAGATTTTTTAACTTAAGCTAAAATAGTCCAAAAAAAAAAATTTAAATTAAAAAAATTAAAAAAACCAAGCATATTCACAAACGAATCCAAAGTGTGATTTATCATGTTATATGAATTGTATCATCAAAAGATGGTCAATTTTAAGCCCCATTGCTTACGCATTGTTGTGCTGGTAGAGGACATTAGGCAACGTTTGATTAGTTTTTAAATTAATATTTAGATCAAAATATTAAAAACAATGTTTAGTTAATAAATTTTTAAAATTATTTTTTCTCCTCTCTCCTTCTCTTTTTTTGTTAATAAATTAATCAATCATTTTTTCTCCCTCTTCTCTCCTCTCTCTCTTTTTATGTATATCAATCAATCAATCAATTAAATTTTTTCTCACATCTATTTATAATTTAAAATATATATATATATATATATATATATCATTCCAAAATTATTTTTAAAACTCATAATCAAACATTTTTTTAATTTTTAAAATTTTTTTTAACAACTTATCTTTTAAAATACAATTAAATTTCTTTTTCAAGTAGATACCAAAGGGAGCCTTAGATAGGACCACTGTTTGACCATTTTCAAAAGAAAGGGACCCGCTGTCACGTGTGGGGTTCAAAATCCACCTTTGTTTCTAATTTTTTAATTTTAAATAAAATTATTGACAAATGTTAAAAGAATTATTTTTGTAATTGAAAAAATAATGGATTTGAATTTTTTTTTTTAACTTTTCAATTACTACAAAAATAAAAACAAAAACAAAAATCGAAAAAGAAATGTTACTTTTTAGATACTTGTCAAACAAAATGAGTTTAAAAAAAAAAAAAGTAATTTACTTAATAGTCCAAAAAATTACTTGAAAAAATAAATAAAGTGCCTACACTACACTATTGTATACATTGTTGGACAAAGGTAAAACACACAAAAAGATTTGCTTGCATTAATTAAAACTTAAAAACACTTTAGAGAAGAAAATATAATAATCCGTGTGTTTGGTTTGAGTTTTTGGATTAATTTTTTTGAAAATTGAGTTTTTTAGTTTTCGTATTCTTTTGTTTTTAGTAAATATTTTTTAAATTTGAAATATTTTTTTTACTTTTTTAGATGCACCTTAGTTAGATGTATCTAAAAAGTAAAAAATTTGTAAAAAAATATTTTAAAAAATTAATAAATACATAAAAATACAAAAAAATGTACTGAATTCTTGTATTTTTTTTTATATTTTTGATATTTAGTTAATTTTTAAAAGATTTTTTTTTACAATTTTTTTACTTTTTAGATGTATTGTGTCTCTAAAAAGTAAAAAAAAATTCTTAAAATATTAAAAAAAATCAATAAAAATAAAAAATACGAAAAATAAAAAAATAAATTTTTTTAAAAAGTATTTTCTAAAAAATGAAAACAAGCAAGTTGAATGTCATCATTTTATCAATTAATAACAGAGATACGACCATTAGCTAGCGCCATATCAGGCCAATATGTCTCCTACTTAGGATCTCCATTCTTGAGTGAATTGGATGGATTGATTGGGACTTGTTAATATTAAAATGTGAGAAAAAATGTATTAAAAGTGTGTAAAAAGTTTATAAAATATTTTGAAATTTATAAAAATAATATTCAATTTCATAATGAATGTCTCGGGATCTAAATATATTTTGTGTTATTCTTATATTTTGAGGACTGAGGACACTCGTTAGGAAGACACTCATCTTATAACAAAAAAAATTAAAGAAAGGAGAAAGAAAAAAGAAATGTAATTAACATATATAGTGAGCAAAACAAGGTTAGTTTAATTAGAAATGGTGTGTAAATGTAATTTGTTAGTTATAGACTATAGAGGGGCATTTTGGTAAAAAATAAACTTCTTGATTTTTAATTTTTTTAGTCAAAAAAATCAGAATTTTTACCTATAAGAATCCAATTTTTTGTCAAAAAAGTCACCAAAAAAATTAAAAAATTAACTTTTTATCAACTTCTCAAAACACCATAGAGTTAAGTAAATGAATTATATACCTGCTTGCACTGAGGAGCTTGGCAACCAATGGTCTGGAAAGTGGTAGACTTGACAGAATCAAACAAGGTCGAAGAGCAGCCAAGACAACCAGAGCAAGGTACCCAAGCAGCGTCATTACTTGTATCCATAGCCATGAGAAATGTCTGAGGTGGTGTGCCAATCTTGGCCCTCACTATATAAGTTGGGCTCTGTATGATCTGCCTCCCTGAAGCTATCGGCACTATCGACCTCCCTGCGACGAGGCTGGCCAGGTACTGAAGCCTGGCTTGGTCTTTGCTCTGCATTTCAAGCACACTCTCTTCCCATGACACTCCTCCTAATTGCTTGAACAATGGAGAGCAAGGACTGTTCGCGTGAAACACTCGCAGGGTTGAGCCCTGGTCCGGTGTTGCCTCACACTTTGCTGACTTTGGGCCTTGGCCTGCGCTTGCTGAGACAATGAGAATGGTTACTAGTAGTAGTGAGAAGAGAATGGCTACAAGTGGAGGAGGCATTGAGATTGAGGTGCCCATGGCTATGGTGTGAGTTTTGCCTGTGTGTTTGTATCTATATATATAGACCCAGTGATCAGTCGGTGGTTACCAGCAAGTCAGTGGCTCATTTCGAAATCAATAATGGTAGATATTATGAAATAAGTAACATGAAAAGGTTTCATGAAGATTCTTCATCATTGGATTAGTTTATAGTGTTTGTAGTGTTTTATTGTATATTATACAATTATCTTTAGATTAGTTTCATGAAACTTTTTATGATATTCTTCTCATGATACATAGCATTACTCTTTGGAAATGGATTAAAAGTTTTTAATTTTTAATCACTTCCTTCTTTTAAAAAAAAATTCAAAAAAAAAGTTAAAAAATAACTTTTTAATCATCTTTTCAAAACACTCCTCTACATCACAAAATTATTCAGTATTTTTCCAACAATGTACAATTTTATTTATTGATTGGCATTTTAAATATTAGTTTTATAATTCTAACATAATAAAATAAATTATTAATTTAAAATATCAAATTTCAATAGTATCACTACAACATATAAGAGTTTTAAAAATAAAAATAATTTAGTCTTTAAAAGTGAAAATTTTGTTGTAAAAGACATTTAAGGATCAATTTCTAATATCATGACGATGGTCGTTAAAAGGTCATTTTGAAAAGTAAAAAATAAGACTTTTAATAAAAAAAAATTTAAAAATGTCACTAATAAATACACTTGAAGAGACAAAATAATTTGATCTCAAAATGATTTATTTTTTGACACAAAATATTAGATCTCAAAAAGATAATAATTCATCACTAATATTCAATTTTCGTTATTAAAAATATAATAATGACATTTTTTATAATAAAAATATTTAATCTCTAAAAAATAATTTTTTTTAAATTTTAATTTCTAAAATTTTAATTTTTTATAATGTATTGAATAATTTCTGTAGCTAGTGGGCACTATGATATGAACTGATTTCAATAGTATTGAATAATTTCTCTGGCTAGTGGGAGGGAGAATGTAGACCATTCAACTGAGCAAGTTAGCTAACAGACTGTACTCCATTTGCTTTTAGTGCCGTAGCTCTCGTGCCTATATAAAATGGGTAGTGGTGGCATCAGGAAAATTTTGTCAGGAAAAGTAATTATAAAAAATTTATAATTTTTAGATTACTTTAATTAGTGTGTAATATTTTATTCTAAGTATAACCTAAGGATCACAAAATTTTCATAATTATTTTCATGAAAAATTTTTCATGATACCTAACATTGCTGATATAAAATTATGATGGAGGTAGAAGGTGAGTAACTAGAATATTATGTTGTATGATTAAAAAGTATGGTGAGTGATAATTGGTTAGGAAGTATAAATACGCGATATTTCGAGAATATTTTATAATTTTTTGATATTTATTGTCACTTTGATAAATTAAATGGTAATTTTATTTATTTATTCATAATTGAGAGTTTAGATTAATTTGTGCGTGTACCTCAACTAATCTTAGGAGGTGTTTGTTTGGAATGATTGTAAGGGGGATTGGATTCATGTCTATTCTATGAAGGAGTTCATTATTTGGTTGAAAATCTATAGACCGGATTATGAGTCTAAGCGGACTCTATGTTCTTCGTACGTGGAATTGTTGTGTCCTAGGGAGGTAAGTTACAAATGGTGAGATAACAATCACATAGCATTAACTTGTAAAAAGACACTTTTGGCCCCCCAAGTACATGTATTTTATTTTATTTTATTTTATTTTGTTTTATTTTAAATGATGAGATAAAAATTTAAATTTTTTTTCTTCAAATGGTAGGATAAAGATTCAAAAAAAAAAATTCACTATTACATAGACAAATTGTTTAGTTTCATTATATATTGTACTCAGTAAAATAAAATAAAATAAAACAAAATTTAAGTCTCAATTAAAAATTTAAATAAATTTATTTAATTTTTATTGATGTTTTAGTTATTTAATTTTTTAAAAGTTCTAGAAAAAAAATATATTGAAGACAAATTTATTATTGCTATTACTCAGTAAATAATTGAAATAGTAAAATAGTCTTTTAAACATCTATCATTCTTTATATTCTAACCAAACATTGAAATTACTAGGATAGTTCTTTTCAGATATCTAATCCCATGAGAAGACAAACATGGAATACACATTCTTTTCAACTAAATAGTCCGATGGATTATGTATCTAGGTTTAATTGCCTGATGGATTACAATCTCCCATATCCAGTCCGTCTAAACAAACATGTTCTTAGGGTCTTGAAATTAACTGGGCAAACCTCCGGTGGTACCTTAGGATGACTCGAACTTAAGGTCTTCGATCTTATTTTGAAATCTTACTGCTTGGCTAACCTCTTAGGGTTATATTAGAAATGAAGACTAACTGTATTTTTATCAAATTTCAAAGAAGGTGAGCGCAAACCAAAAGGTAAATTACACTCATATTATCTGAAATTTGAAAAAATATATATATATATAATCAATCTTACATTTTTAATGTAAATATATTAATACTTTTTTTTAGTAAAGTTAAAACAAGGGATATTTATCAATAAATCCCATTTCACAAACAAGTACTCCAATTAGTCTTAAGTTTTTTCTATTAATCTGTTAAATCCTATTAATGGAGAGTTTCTTTCTGTGTGGTCCTATTTTTGATTTTGGTAGTGTTTTGGTGGATAATTATACCCTTTAATTAATGTGACAGGTATAATTTAATACTCTAATATAGAAAGTATTAATGTGACGTTCCAAAACAATTAAAAACTCATTAGTGCACTTTTCCTAAATGTGATAACGTAGCGGGTATGATGTAACACTTCAAAAAAAAAAACTCTATAATGTACTTTTTCCTACTGTGACAACACGACAGATATGATGTGACATTTCAAAAAAAAAAAGGAACTCTTTAATGTACTTTTCCTTAATTTGACAATGTGGTGGGTATGATGTGACACTTAAAAAAAAAAAAAAAAAAGCTCCCTTGTAAACATGACAACATGGCGGGTATGATATAACACTTCAAAAAAAAATAAAAACTCTTAGTATACTTTTCTCAAATGTGGTAACGTTGCGGGTATGATGTGATACTCTAAAAAAATTAAAAACTCTTTAGTGTACTTTTTCCAAACGTGACATGTGATACTCCAACGTGTCAGGTATGATGTGACATTCTAAATGTAACACTCCACTTTTAAATTCACAGATACTATTACCAAATCCTTTGTTATATTACAATTTCAAAGATAGCGTTCGGAAGTTCAATACATTAATAAGGACAATTAGGTAAAGGTTCTATCATTCGAATATATAATGAATGCAACATGAGTTACAATTAAAGAAGTTACCTCTAGGTTTACATCATTACATATAAAAGGAAGGGTTCAACCTTTTTACAAAAATGGCATTCCGCCAACAAATAAAAGGCCCTGTGGCAAACAGATAAAGAAGATCCTTAATCTTGAAACACTTCTCGACATTCACTTGAAAAAGGATTAACAACATGGGATGAATATAAAGTCTAGTAGGGATCCCAACATAATCCTAAATAATAACAATTTACAGATAGCTACGATCATGAATGCTTAGTCTCATACTATATAAATAATGTGACGGTTTATAACCAAAGAATATTTACATAAGTACTTTTTCCAAAATCATTCAATTCTTTCGACAATAAAGACGGCTCACATTTTCTTTTCATTTCCCATTTCAAAAATATCTCATAACAATTATTTTTTTTTAAACATGTTCATAAATCTTTGATTTCCTTCACATTATTTATGAACTCAATACATGATCTACATTCTTTTCCAACACGTTCAAATATACGTATATACATCTAACACGAAAAATGAAAACAATAAGCACCCAACAACTATCTACTCAACATATAAGACAACCCTTCCTGAACCATAACCATCATAACGCATGATATACACAGATACACTGAGACAATAATGATAAATAAGCTATGTTCTACTTGCTTTAAGCACGGTAAGCCAAGGATGCACCTTTCCAATAACGAAATGCCAATTTATCAGACACCGGTTGGAAGGCAATAATACATACACATAATTTCTCCAAGAGCTAGCTAGAAGGTACTGGTACCTCTCATTCTAAGTGCAACCAATCATCACAACATATTAAAAACATTAATAACACAAGTGTAATACATACACATAATCTATTCAACACGACAGTGTCATCCTCCACCGATGACAAAGGACAAAACCCCCAAACACTTGTATTTAATACACGTAATATCATACCCCAATTCTTGTGAAACTCTAAGTCCAACAACAACAAATAATAAATAAAGTGTTCATAATCCAAGCTCATGTTCATTTTTAAAATTCACAAAGTGTTATGATTTCCTTACATTTTTCAAAAATCGATTCTCTTATTTTCCAAGTTAACATACTCCAATCTTTATCCAAAATCCATTCTTTTCATTTCACAAAACTAAATTCATGGATATCAAAGCCACAACCTAACTCAACTTAGTATGATCAATCCAAAATAATTTCAATGCCATAAATAATTCTCCATTTTAGCTATTAACACATTTGCACAATCCATATTAACAAAATACAAACATTATTCAACTTTACCCCTTTTTTAATTCACCACGTCAAAATATTAAATTAGGAATTGTTCTCCCTTTCAACATAAACATGTTACCCAATTAACCCAACAACAATCAATTTAATAATCTCATTCACAAATATCAAACTCTAGATCTCCTTTCACGACTTTCAAAGAAATCCATAATGGATATGATTTTTATGCAATAAAATCTACCGCATATCTATCTATAGATGAGGTATTGAAAAGGAGCAAAGAAATCCCTACCTCAAGCAATGAAGAAAAGAAGCCTGAAAATCTAACTTCAATGAAAACACGATCCGCTTAGATTAAATAGAAGCCCTCGTCGAACTCTACGTTTTGGCATATGGAACTAGGGGTCAAAGATGTATAGATATAGATGAAATCAAGGCTAAAAGTCTTGAAGACTCAAAAATGGCGGAAGGAGAGAGAAA